AACTCACATGGTTTATGCTCACAGTATCTAAACTCAATCTATGCATACCATTAATCATGAATGCGCAACCAAAATAACAAGAGTTAACAAATAAAGTTACTCTACCATTCATAGTTGAGAAAGACATACAAGCTTTATCAAGCAAAGATATAAATTTTCTTTTAAGTAAAAGTACTACTCTAACTTGTTTTAGAGTTAGTAATTTACTTGAAGAAAGCACCAAATTTACAGTTCCAACATGAGTCACATCTGTCTCATTACCACTGCAATTTTCTACTGTGTCTCTCACTTCTATGACCTTAGTGAGTAAATTTCTATCATTAGTAGTATGACAGGTAGCACCGCTTTCCAACCACCACTCAAAAGAGACACTGGCCTTTCCATTCTTCATCATTCCAATGAAAGCTTGAGGCTCAGGTTCATTAGTTAACATATTAGCCTCATTTTGTGGTGTGTTGTTTTTTTTTTAACTTATTTGGTAGCTTACACTCTGCTGCCCAGTTATCTCACTTTCCACAGTTATGGCACTTGTCCTTCTTCTTCTTTTGAAGATAGTCGTTTTGGCCTCTAACTATGAAGAAGATTCACCTTTTGGTGACTTGAACTTCTTCTGAGTTTTATTGGAATGTGAAACTAAGTAGGCAATTAACTTTTATTGTCCTATTTGTTCCAAACTCTTCCTAGAATAATTTTGATCCTAAATATAAATAAACCCCTTTAATTTATCCAGTTCACTTTGTTCTTTCAGTCTTGAAAGAACTCTATTCAGCAGATAGTTTACTCAATGCAAGATCGACAAAAAGATTATCAGACATATCAAATTTATTATCTTTTAACTTGTTCCTTATGTTCTCAAGTTTAATTAACTGAATTCGTATTAAATTTGAATTCAAAGAACTTCTCTGCTATGAGAGCTTTGGAGAGCCCCTCTTGTTTTGGAACTAAGCACTCAAGTGATTTCATATCTTTTTTCATCGTCTTATATTCACTACAAGTCATAGCGAGATGAATATTTAGAGAATTTAGCAAGCAATCCCTACAAAATTATTCATCTTTGTTCCATTGATATTAATCCACAATTTTCAATGGTAAATGCAAGATCATTTAATATATTATAGAATATTTCATGTTCTTCCATGCCAAATTGAACATGTAATTTCCAACCATAAAATTCAATAACATCAAATGATTTCATTTCATAATATCATAGGAATTATTTTTAGGCATTTTAATCAGAGCTAAGAGTTAGAAAGAGTGCACCTTGTAGCTCTCTCAGATTTCGCAAATTAAAGCAAAAGCTCCAACTTTCATCAACTGCTCTATAGATTTGGAATTTGCCAAAACAGACCCCAAAAACAGATCCGGAACGCCCAAAAACCTTAAGATGAACTACCCCTATGGCCAGAAACTCACCGGAACATTTTTTGATTTTTAAAATGTCCCATACAGAATATTCCTTAACAAACAGAATATTTCCTCAGAATATTCCTTTTCGCAGTAATATTCTTTTTAGCATAAAAGTGTACCTATAACTTCAAACAGTCATATCTCCTTCCTCTGATCTCCGTTTGAGGCAAATGACCACTCAATAGGTTTCACTTTCTGAAATTGGCTAAAATTTCCGGGATCTGGACCAAAAGGTTGCGGCTGCAGTATCTTCAAACTCAGATCCTGGAAAATCCTTCCGTCGAATCACGAAAGTGATTTAAAATATGAGTTCCTTTCGTTGAGATCTTTGAATAGACACCTTACTCGCTCAAATCCGACACCCGAAGCTAATACTTTAAGATTGTTGGAGGTTATGAGGTTGAGAGAGAAGGGTTCAGAGGTGCTTAAAGTATTACACCAAGAGACATCAAGTTTGGAATGCTCAACAGTGTTACCTCCAGCTTAGGAAACCCTAGATATAATACAAGCTATTGGGCTCCAGCCCATATGGACCCAAATAACCATGCTTTCAACTATTGGGTTTATATGTGAACATACTATTATTGATTATACTATTAATATATCCAACAAGTCTAACCTATTTACACCCCTACTCCCAAACAAAGCCCCAGTGTATCACGTTCAAAGAAAGTTTTTGAATTCGTAGGTTGAAATCTCGCTGTAAATAGTTCTCCTTTTGACAAGCGATTTGCAAAGTTTTGATTGAAACTTGTGATATGTCTTATCTTTTATATTGGCAACTTCCATCTTTACAACAACAAAAAAAAAGTTTGGAACTCCCTAGTCCCAGCTTGTTTCTAATTCACTGTCAAATAATTATTCTTTCAGGCACTTCTTAATTGTTGTTGCCAAATTGATCTTTAATGTCCTTGTGTTTTCTTTCTAGAGGAAGGATATTTTTAATAAAGTAACTTTTTACCTCTAACTGCTCCCGCAAGTTGCTGTCAAATAATTATAAAATACAAAGATATAAACAAAATTTGGTTGAGTCTTGTGCTACACTTTTTGACTTTGAGGCTCTAAATCTAAATCGTGCTTGACCGTATTTATGTCTCTTGAGGGGGAATGAGCGACACTTTTTTTCCACCTTGTCGGACCCAGCTTCATTGTGCAAGTTACTTTGTCTTTTGTTTTGGGTAAGTGAAAGTTCTTTTTTCTCCAATGTTTTGATTTGTGTGTCTAATTAATAATCCACTAAACTGATTAAACTAAAACTTTACTTGCAATTAATCACAAAATAAAATTTTCTGATCCGCATTTTAACTATACTTAAAACTATTGCATGTGTCAAACAAAATGTTCAACTCGCTTCCCATGTCAAACAAAATTGTCATTTTCCTTTTTGGTTTTGAAGCTTAAGAGCCACTTTTTAAAACGACGAAGCAAAAAGGTCAAACTAAGGTGTGGGTTCCGCAATGAGAGAATGGTGTGTGGTGACCATTGTTTGGCTTGTCATTCAGTAAATGCTGGCCCCATATCCTGATTCAAATGAAAGAAGGTAATATTAGGACTTTCAGCAAAGTCCTTTTGATTCAATAAATGCGGGTTAATAAAACATTTTCAATGACTTATCTGTGAGCAGAAGAACTGAAGATTTAGGGTCCCCTAATAGGGACAACTTCAAAAAATAAAACTCAATGGTCCTATGAAATAGGGGTCCACGACTATGATTTACCCGTAAATGCAACGACAGGTTATACTTATTACGAAAGGCTAGCTAAAGTAGTAACCAACATCTTTATCCACCTCTTCCCTAGAAATAGAGATAGGCAAAATAATCAAAAAATTGAACCGAACCGAACTACTCTTAAAATAATCGATTTTTAAAAATCAGTTCATGAATCGAACCGGTTTTAAAGAACCAGTTTATGAACCGAACTGATTTTTAGAACCAGTTTAGGAACCGAACCATTTTGAACCGAACCGAACCGTTTTCAAACCGAACCAAAATTCTTATAACTTTATTTTTTAAATTTTTAAATTTATTTTTATTTTCAAAACAGGGTCAACCCGAACCGATTCCGAACTGAACTGTTTCCAACGAACCGAACCAATTTTGAACCGAATCAAATTATTTTTAAACTGAATCATTTAAACCAATTCGGTTAGATTTGACCGTACACAAGGAATACCTCTTTGAATAACCACTTTAAAACGAAATAATAACACGTTAACCATATGTTAGCTTGTGTTACAAAGAACATATTTGTCATCCCTTTATTTCTATGGTTATGTTATTTACAAAAAAGAATTTCTCCCTAACTTCACAGACATCTAATCACATCTATTCGCTTGTTCCACAATTTTTTTTCTCTGTCCCACTTCCCCCCCCCCCCCCCCCCCCCCCCTCTCAGTAATTAGTAGCTCCACATTGCTTTATGTGAGGTTCTATGATGAAATATGTTTTTGCAAGAGACATTTTCGTTATTTTTAAATTTTTAATGTAAAAACATAATTATTAAACAACCAAAGAAGAGTTTACATCTATATGAACCAATTAAAGCCATAACATATTAATCATATCTTGTGATTTGGACTAATACTAAACGACATGCATGGAAGGTCCAATCCAACAATGGCGCAAAATAAAGACTTAATCCATAAGGAAACACGTTAGAAATGCACAATCCCATGAAAAAATAGCTAACCTCCCAGAAACACATGATTGATAAGCCTCTTCAATAGAAAACGTGGTTCCAACTAAGTCTAGGAATCACAGCCCCACCAAAAGGCATCGCGTGTGAAAGTAGGCTAATAAAGCCACCTGAACCAACCATTGGGTAGACAGAGAACACCGGGAAACTATATGTACATAAACACTACTTTTATTTAGTCTCATTTTAGACTTTATTTAATTTTTAATTTACTTACTTTGATATTTGGATATTTGATAATCATACATTTCGTGTAATTTCAAACTATATTAATTTGTTGTATATTAGAAGATACTTTCCGTAACTCAAATAGTTCCTTATTTTAAACAATGATACTAATCATATATAGAAGAGCACGAAATTTTTTGTTATTGGATTTTCTTTTGGTTTGGAAGTTACGACTCTCAAATCTCCCTCACATTTTCAAACCATATCATTATTAAGAGCTGAAGAGCTCTTGCACTCATTGCATATCATATATTATTTATGCCCCTAATTAGGCCGGCTACAAATTATATCTATACATATTGCAGTCTTCTGAAACAAAAGTTGTATAAAAGGTTGGTAGATGATTTCTACTTTCAAGGTTCGAAAGTTGCAACCAAATGCATCTAACTCTTGTATCATAAGAAGAAAGAATGGATCATTCAAGAATATATATGTAGTGACCATGTCTCAACTAACTAAATTCAATGTGTAAGTTCATGCTATATATAAATGGTGTCCAAGGTGAAGGTCAAAAGATAGTTGAGCATAAAATGGACCTTTAATAAATAAATTCATTAAAATTGTATCCCCACAAACAAACAAAAAAGAAGAAGCTACCCACTAAAATAATAAAAAAAATTCCATTCTATTACTTTTCTAGGTTATTTTCCCAGTATGAAACTACTCCCACTATAAGGTAATTAAATTAGGTTTATTTCTCTGTATCTGTGGTAACAATTAATCGTCTAAATTGAACAACAAAAGCAACAAATTCATCAATCTAAGAAATTGTTGAACAAATCTATCTTTGGAGTTTGAGCTGAAAAAAAGTTTGAAGGGCTAGCCATGATGAAACCACCTTCCATAAAATTTATGTTACTGTGAAGGACAGGGCTCAAGTTATGAAGGAAGTTAACCATGCTCGGATCCGACGGCGGTGGCGAGAAGAAGCTCGCCGGAATGGGAGACATCGAAGCCGGTGCCGGCGACAAAATCCCATGAAACATGCTTGGTTCTGCCCCTCCTCCAACATCGACACCATTATTATTAATCCCACTTTGATGTTGTTTCATCCCTTGAGGAGTTCTAGCCTTTTCTATTGTGGCGTAACGTGCCGCAGGTGATATTGCACCGTGACCATTGTTGTCACTGATTAAAGGATCGTTTGTTGATACCTTATGGGAATTAGAGGAAGAGGAAGAAGAGGAAGATGAAGAGCCTGTGAGGCGTTGAACAAGGCTCATGAAGTCACCGGGTGTGGTGTGGATTATCTTTGGAGATACGGTGTAGATGATGATCGGTTGGCGCGGCGGAGCATGTGGTTGTGAGGGTTGAGGCGGCGGCGGCGCCAACGGTGGCTTCTTGATCTTGCGTGAGTCCTTGTTTATACTTAAAGGGGTGGGACGAGGACCTTGGAGTTCTCGTCTTGGTGATCTTCCTGTGGGGATGTCTGAAAAGCTCATGATTGATGCTAAAGAGGTGGAGAAGATGATGATGAGCAAAAGTCTTTAAGTTTTCCAATTCAAACTGAGGAATATAAGGGGCTGACATGAAACATATAAAGAGAGTTGGTCAAAGGTGAAGAGGGATTATTTTAATACGAGATGCATTTGCTCGTAAATTTGGCTTCTACTATGGTAAATTTTTTAATAGGGTTTTATACGTGAGGACTGTTTCGTGATGCTTTGGTTGTGTCATGTGTGAACTTGTCTATACATGTATTCCTTTTCTTTTCTTTTCTTTTTTTATAAAATTTTCCAAAAAGTCGGAAAGGGTCGTTCCCACATCAAAGAGGTTAATGATCGATATGTGCTATGATGGACGAGTAATTAATTAAACTGCTGATGTGGATTTCGGATAATAGTGGATAAGTGTGTTGAGAATTTGAGACTATGTGTATACCTGGGGCCTGGGGGCTTTACTTGGTATTAGTGAGTCTGTGGTTTATGTATAAAGTGTAGTGTACCCAATTAAGTCTCAATTCTTTTAGAATGAGCCTAGGCTTTTCATTAGCCAGCGACATAGACTAATCGATAGCAAATTACGGCTGGGGACTGACCTAGTGTTATACAATGGCTTGTATCATATTTGAATAGTTATTGTGGCATTTTTGGGTTTGGTGTCTTAAGTTCATTTTTATTTAAAAAAGAGAGGATAATTCTGAAGCTGTAGGGGGCTATTCGATTGTCTACTTTGCATATCCATTTGTGCGTGTAATTTGTTCATGAATTCTCTTACTACAAGAATTAACTTTTTCATATTTTGTAAAGACTGATCTATAGACATACACGGCATTTTTCTTTTACCTTTGATTATGCATAAGATATTTAAAAATATTTTTCACACCAAACACCCAAACATTAATAAAAATATTTTCTAGAATGATATCTCTTGTATATCGATGTTCTAAAGCACCCTGAGTGGCATCTAGTATATATTTCGCTATATAACTTCGAACGAACTTTCGAATTATATTGAGAATTGAGTTGTTCAGGAAGTGAATATATATATATATATATATATATATATATATATATATATATATATATATATATATATATGGATAGGATCAACTTACACCGGTGTAAGAATAATAAATCTTACACCAAATCTTAACCGTTGATTTCCGTGCATCCAATGGTTGAGATTTATTGGGAATTAAAAATTAATTAATGAGTGAGACCTAATAAATCTTAACCGTTAGATGTAGAAAATCAATGATTAAGATTTGGTGTAAGATTTATTATTCTTACACCGGTGTAAGATGATCCTACCCCTATATATATATATATATATATATATATATATATATATATATATATATATATATATATATATATATAGGATATTCTTACACCGATGTAAGAGTTAGAAGTCTTACACTCAATCTTGACCATTGATTCACTTGTATACAATGCCTCACATTACTACAAAATGTGAATCATTAGATATAAGTGAGATCAGCGGACAAGATTAAGAGTGTAATTTACACTGGTGTAAAATGATTCTAAGTCATATATATATATATATATATATATATATATATATATATATATATATATATATATATATATATGTATGCATTGAATTTTTATGTTAGATAAATATTTGGATCTTTTTCAAATGGTCATTTCTCCTCGTCGCGTTTTGGCAAGATAGGGCTTTGTTTTGCATGTTAGCTATGCATAGAAGGTTCAATTTCCACGGGTGGAAATAAGGGGTGGTTATCACGAGAAAACATATGAAAGTAACAATATTTGCTATCAAGTACTGTTTGCCATAGACAGTATTTTAAGTTACTGTCTGTTAGATCTTCTGCTTTTTGTCCCTTTTGTTAGTTGAAGACGTCTCTAATCTTCTACAAGAATTAAATTATATCTCACAACGCTATGTCTCTAGAAAAAAAGTCTTGTTTGACGGCGCACTCGAAGTTGCTTGCTTTGAACCCCAGCTATCTCTTGCGTTTAATATACATCTTAAGTAACCCATATTTCCATATTAAGAATTTAATTACGCACATGTACATATTCAATAGTTAAATACGTTCATGAATGTTACCTTTGTTTTGTTTTTTGATACGTCAGAGAAACATTTACCACCTATACCCTTTATCATCATATTGGGTGGAAGACTTTTCTTTTCTTTTAAATTTCAGCAATATAAACAAAAACATATAAATGAGATTACACAATTAATCTACCCAAGATCGATGTCATTGATCGTTTTACTAAGCAAGAACCATTACCTGCTACTGCACAATTGCTCTGCAAGAGAAATTGCATTCTAAAGGTCTAATTTCCTATTGTCAACGGAGCAGCTAGCTAGGAACTCTCTCTCTCTCTTTCTCTCTCTAAAAGTAGTAAATTGCTATTGTAACTTTTTTTTTTTTTAATAAACCACGTGCATCTTTTACGGAAAGACAATCTTATTTCAACCGTGAACATTTATATTATGGTGGGGTCAACTCTCCCCAAGTAAAAATTTTGTATTCATAAGTATTTGAACTCAAAATTAAACAGAATCAAACATGTACACTTGAACCAATCTCTTTCGGTATTGCTATTGTAACCTAATGCATATTATACCCATTTGAAATGTTTGATTGATATCAATTATCATTACCTCCAAAAAAAAAAAAAAACCATATTGGAATAATATCTCTAAAAGTATTTATTTTATGGATTAGTTTTTTCTGAAGTTACTGCAAATAACTTATCTGCAGTAAGCTCAATACGACGTTGTTTTGAGACGGAAATCATGTTGTTTTTGAAATTTTAATTTATTTTAGGGTTATAATAGTCTTTATATTTATAATTTTTTAAGATTTCAATACCAAAACAACGTCGTTTTGAGAATAAATGCAGATAACTTATCTGCATTAAATGTATAAATATTTTTTCCTTATTTTATTAGTATAAAGCAAGACATGTCATTAATTACGGTAAGTTTTAATTCACTAGAAGCCGTGTTCGAAAATTTTGAATGAATCGTATCTGATACTCGTCTTATCTACGACATCCTAACCAACCTCACCCGTAGTCCGATCTCACACAACTAGCTCATTGAAGTTGTCAATGAACTGAACCAATCAACATGAAGCCAAATAAGTAGCTTTTAAATATTTATTTGACTTTGATTTAATTTATGCATAAAGGGCGGATATCAATGAAAATATATTACTAAAACACGAGTATGACCCTGGGACAAAGTTCCACGCTTATAAAAATAAATGAAAGGCCATTTGAGTTTATAAATTGCACCTCAGAATTATAGAATTCCAAAATGTCAAATGAAATGCTATCTCGAATTAACATTTCTGCTGTGATACCAATATATATAGGCTACGCATGGCTACGAACGCGATAATTAATCTAACTAAGATTTTAGGAACCTTTTCATACCTTTTTTTCCATAGATTCTTTGACATTATATTTGGTTATATATGCAACCTTTTGGTTTAAAAGATGTACCGGGTCTGACTGGACGTAGGAATAGGAAAAATGTTGACTTAGCATCACAAACATATACGAACAATTTTATTTTTTTCACATTCTTTAAAATTGTATTTTTATGATATATATGAAAACGTTTTATCTGACATTTTACCCAAAAGAATAAATTTCTGATTCTCTTAAAATAAAAATATATTTGATAATTGAGATATCATTTTTTGCGTATCCTAAAATTACAAATTAACAAGGCTGTAGCTCATTATATTTTCAAAAAACATCACCTTAAACTTTGGCTAAAGTGCGATTTGTCCCTAATTAAGAGTTAAAAATGATTTGAAAAAAAATAATTGAACTTTACTAATTGTCCAAAATCCCCTTGATTTTTTTTTTATAATTTTCAATAAACCCCCTGAATCTATTAAACATTCATTCAATTAATAAGAAATTGTTGAGAATCTAAATATGAATGATTGAGTGAAAAAGTCTCATATTGATTAAGAGTGGACTAAGTGTACCATATAAGTGAAAGGACCTATGCATCTAATGCCTTAAGGTTTTGAGTTTGATTGTGGTGTTCTAAGTCCACTTAATGTTGCTGCTCACTTAGTCTATGGTTGGCGGTAGGAGTGTAAATAGGCTAGATTAGGCTAGACTTTGCCTTAAATATTCTAAGCCTATGTAAGAAATATTGGGTCTAGTCTGGCCTATTAGCCTGTGCATGCCCCAAATTAAAAGTTTGATTTGACCTATATTTTAACAAAAAGAAGCCTTGGCCTAAAGCTGTTAGCTTGTTTAAGGTTTTTTTAAAAGTCTAGGCATGTTCTATTTTACTATTTATAATAGGCCAAGTTTGCCCTAATATAGGCTAGGTCGTAGGCCTCTGCAGGTCGACCTAGCCAAATTACACCCCTAGTTGGCGGTCTCCCCCCGCCACGAGATCTCCCTGCACGGCCCAACAATTTGTATCAGAGCTAATGGTGGATTTGTCTATGGTGATCCTAGTATGTCTTAATGTAGGAAGCCAAGGTCTTAGTGAGTGTAACCAAGCCTTGACGAAAGAGGCAATGTTTGATGAGAAGCCAAGCATTTATGAATCCCATGAATACTCGAAGAGGCTTCTCCTTGAGGGGGAAAGAATGTGGGTCTAGGACTTACACTTGAGGGGAAGAAGTTGAAGAATACAAGTGTGAATGATTGAGTGAAAAAGTCTCAAATTGGTTAAGAATAGACTAAGTGAGCACTATATAAATGGAAGGATTCATACACCTAATGCCTTAAGGTTTTGGGTTTGATTGTGGTATTTCAAGTTCACTTAATGTTACTGCTCACTTGGTCCATGGTTGGCGGTCTCCCCCGCCACGACCTCTCCCTGCACGGCTCAACAGAAATGTTATGTTTACATGCTTGGTCACTTGAAATTATGATCATATATATAAATACTTCAACAGCCGTGAAAGCACCCGTTTAAATAGCATCAACAATTTTAGTTTTTGTGAACGCAAAATATTTCT